GCTCTTCTTTATAGCTTCAATTTCATTTTTGATATATTGTATATCTCTAAATACTCTTTTAATTCCTTCAGCACTTTGATCACTCTTTGTTTGAAATGTTGATGTAGTAGGCTATTGATATCTATCTCATTGATCTTTCTTTCAGGGGATTTCCCTTGTTCTTTTAATTGGGATTGGTTTCTCTCCTCCTTCATCTTGGTCATGCCTCTCTGGCACTGTGGTTTATGGAGTATCAATTATCTATTTTCGCCCTTAAGGAGTTTATCTATCTAATGCCTATGTAGGAATAATATATATAAAAATATGAGAGATAGAGAAAGAATTTTAAAAGAAGGGGGAAAAATGTTTGATAACAGTGTGTAATGAATAATAGAAGAGCAAGTTGAAGCAGAATATGAATCGGGTTGAGACATCCTTTTAAATCCTTTTTGAAAGAGGGGAAAAGATGAAAAAATGTATTTGAAACCTGTGTCTAATCAATAACAGGACATCAAATCCCAGGAGATATAAAAATGCATTAGGAAGTAAAAATTAAGTGTGTAATAGAAAATAGAACAGGTAAAAACAGATTAAAAAATAAAGGTGGTGTCGGTGTTCTCCTGGAGTCTCTGTGTTTTAATGTGAAGTCTTTCTGTCTTTGTCCTGTTTTGGAAGCTCAGCTTGCTGTTTCCAGAGGCACTCCGTTGGCGCCCTCTTCTGTGCTTCTCTCAGTACCTGTCAGCAAGCAGATTGCACCTCATCCCAACAGTGGGTCAGGTGCAGCTCTCCTTTGCTGTGGGCGGGCAGGTCACTGCCCCTCCAGATGCCTCAGTCAGATGTTGCAGACTGGACAGATAGGAGGGTGGGTCGTGCTCCCTCACAGAACCACAGTCAGGTGCGTTCCTGCTGGAAAGTTGAGGGGCCGCCTACCCTCTCCTGGCGCCTGTCGCTCCACAGCTCTGTGCCACTGTGCACTCTGTTTTGGGTCGGTTGTCCATAGGGGTCTCCGGGAAGACCGTGGAACATTCTCACCCCAGCTCAGGGCCAAAACCATCTCCTTGTTTGTCTTGGCGTAGCAAGTTCTCTAATGGTCCAGGAGAGAAGGATCCTATCTACCTCGGGCTGTAGACAAGTCTCTGTCTGGCCTTTGAGGCTGCTAAGCCCTTAGGTGTGGATTCAGGTTTCGCCCCCACCCCCGCCCCCACCTGGGTGCTAAGTGCCGGAGGATATGGTGGCTGTGCCTGAGCCTAGCGTCTCTTCACCGGAAAACTTTCCATGGGTTTTCAGAGATAAGCATATGCACACTTACCCCCAGGGCACATCTGTCGTGTTGTTTTATGGAGGGCCCAGGTTGTTCTGCCCTGTGCACCCACAGCCATGGCACGCAGCCCCCTGCAGTCTCCCAGGGCTGCCTCACTGCAACCGTCCCCATCCTCTGCCTGGCTTGGGCAGCCTGCCCCTGCCCACAGCTCCTGGGCCGCATCTCGGGCTGGGTGTCATGGGAACCCTCTATGCCATTTAACTTAGTTCTGTCAGTCAAGGCCTGCTCTGTACAGATTCAAGCCTTGGAGGCTCCCCCTCCATCCCACTGGACTCTCGGTTGGAGGGGGAGACCCAGCGAATGAGTGCAAGTCCTCCTTTGCCACTCTCTCCCCACGGGACCCATGCAGCACTGTTTTGCCTTTTCTTCTTTTTTTTCTCCTTTTCTCCTACCAAATTTTTGGCGTCTCTGTCTTTTGAAGAGGATGATGTTCTGTCAGAGTTCTGCAGGTGCTCTGGTTGCCTGAGTGGGTATGTGGATATGAGTCTTGGTGTATTTGTGGGACACGGTGAGCCACGAGCATCCTTCTACTCCACCATCTTGGCCTCCTTCCATCAACGTTTTCTTAAATGACAGGATTCCATTCTTTTTATCACACATATATTATAATATATTTATCTTAAACTAAACACTAAATAGATTTGCAAAAATGTAGAATGACTTCTTCACTAAATGTAATACATTTCTATTTTAGAAAACATAACTTTTTAAATCAAATATGGTTATTTTTAATTACATAATTTTAAACATATTGTATCAACATATAATGGAATTACTGGTTTAAAAACAAATTTACATATGAATATTTTAATATGTTAGTTTTAATTTCTAATATGTCAATAATCGATATATTTAATTTGCATAGACTTAAGTTGTTTGGAATTTCGTATAATTCTGTAGAGCACAAAAGGATCCTGAATCCAAAAAATTTATGAGTCACTGGTTTTACTAATTAAGAGCATATTCTGGGGAGCAAGTCTGCAACTTTGTATCTACGTGATTTTAGGCAAGATATTTTATGTCTCTCTGCCCCTTTTGTCTCATAAAAAATGTATAACTAATACTACCTATTTCATAAAGTTATGAAAATTATATGAATCAATATTTGTAAAGCTCCTAGAAGAGTATCTGACACATAGTAAATACAATTTTTATATTAAAATAGAAGACAAGTATGAAACACCCACATCTAGCATCATACTTACTGATGAAATCTCTGAGAACATTTCTCCTATGTTAAGGAAAAAGAAAATGATGTCTGCTTTTGCCACTTTTTTCAATATTGTAGTGGAACATCTAGCCTCCAGCATTAAAATAGTTTAAGTATCATGGTGAACAACAACATCCAGAGATTATGTATTATTGTGTACAGATAAGCTGTTTGTCTAACATTTCAGGTGTGGTCCCCAACAAGGGTCAGTTTCCCATGGCTATGGGAGCCCAGGAACAATTTCAGTGCACTGGCCCAATGTGTCGCTATGCTGAAGACTTGGCTCCCATGCTGAGGGTCATGGCAGGACCTGGGATCAAAAAGTATGCTTGTGTTTTTCCTTTATTTCCTTTCTCTCCTGTCCAGACTTTCATTTCTCATTTTATTATTAGACATAGAGATAAAATTCCAGTCTTCAAGCAAATAATTATGAGTTTTTATAAGAGAACTTTTGCATATGTGGATATGATGTTTCACAAATTAGTTTGTAGAAATATTTCACTGTGTAAAATATTACACAAAGAGAGGCCTTACTGTAAGATTAAAACTGGATTTTTTGGTTGTTATTCATTTGGCAATTTGAGTATAAAAACTTAGTTCACTTTATATTGAGCCTTTTTGGTTCTTCTGACATCTGTCACCACAAAACTTATTTTCTAATCTTATTTCAGCCATTGATACTGCATGAGTGTCTCTATTTCTCTAGATAGCTCTTTATCACATTATCCATAGAAATGATATCAAAGTGCCCCCACTTCCAGGAAACCTGTGATCACCTCATCTCCCTTTTATGCTCAGTAAATGATCCCATATTCTACCTCATCAAGAAAATGCACTCTGTGTGGAATTTCAGTTTCTTACCATCAGATTTTTCTAAGTCCCCAGCCTCTTTTTATCATCTTAGAATGAATTAAAACCTTTTCTCTTTTTGCTTTAATATTTAAGTTCTTTGACCCATGCCTACACTCTGGATCTCATGTGCTGTTGGTCTCTCAGATCTAAGTTCTATTACTTATTTTATTTTCCTATGACTTTAACCATATACAAGTGCACACATGCACACTATACAAATTTTTCTCTCATCTATATATGTATATACATAGGTACCCACACACTATATACAAATATATAATGCCCCCTTTGTTATCATTAACATGTCTGAGTGTCTCTCATTTTAAAAAGATATATTTTTTCTCAAATACACATTCTCCTTCATCTTCTACTCTACCCTTTTCTATCTTCATTACCAAATATAAGTTATTTATACTCATAAGTCTAAATTCTCCCACTACCCTCTCTTTCTCAACCCACTACATACCGGTTTTCACTACTGAAATTTTTCTTGCCAACATCTCTATTTTTTCCATTTTTCAAAAATTAATGACTACTTTTCAATACTTATATGAACTCTTTATAAGCGGTGACACTGTTGACTCTGCCCTCCTTGAAACAATATATACCCCTGGCTTTTGTGACTTACACTCTTCTGATGTAACTCCTGTATCTGTGACTTTCTCTTTTTATTCTCCTTTGTGGCTCTCTTCTTTTCCTGCTTATCCCTCAAATATTGTTACTCTATTGTCTCACTTTCCTCTTCTGTCTCTACCATCATCCCAGGATTACTCCATTTACACATGCTATTTAAATTACCTCCCATACCTAGAGGATACACAAATCTGAATCTGTGGCTCATTATCCTCACATAAGCCTCAGGACTGTGCATTCACTGGCATCCTGGGTATCTAAGTGACTTGAAACTCAGTATATCTAAAACTGATTTCATTCTTCTTCCAAGCCTCAGAAACCTGATTTTCCATCTTATTTTTCCCTAATTTCATTGACCCAATCATAATTAATCCAGTGACTAAAGCCCAATTTCCTATTTCTATTACTCTTTATATCTGAGCAATCACCAAGTCCAATGAAGACTACATCCTAGTTGCTTCTTACATGATTATATTTATCTCTGTTCCTATGGTTACAATTCTAGTTTAGGCTATGATATTTTCTCATCTAGACTACTACTGCAGCCTTCTGATTTTTCATTCTATTTGAAACAGTTTTCTCTCTTGTTGCCAGAGTAACATTCTTAAGTGCAAATCTGAATTCTAAAGGCTTAACACTGTTTCTGGCACAGTTCTTTGGGAAAAACAAAACTACATTAATGCTGAAGCTCAGTTGTTAGGCTTGAACTAGTTACCATATGTAATTAATTTGTTGATATCATTTTCTTTTTAACCCTCCACAGGTTAAAACTCAATGATAAGGTAAATTTAAAGGATTTGAAATTTTACTGGATGGAACATGATGGAGGGTCATATTTAATGTCAAAAGTGGACCAAGATCTCATTCTGGCTCAGAAGAAGGTAATTATGAATATAATCTCTTAATGGAATTAATATTTAGTCAAAGAGATGCCATTCTAACACTTCTACTTCATTGTCTGCCAGATATTATGTCAACATATATAATTTAGGTTATCAGAGTAATTGTACTAATTTTTGGTATAATTTTTCATAGTCATTTTAGATATTTTAACTATTTTTAGTAATAAAAAGGAATATTTTTGAAATTAAAATATGATGAAGCAAAGAAAGATTTTGCTCAGTGGTAAATGCTATTAATATTTTGGCATAAGTTAATGTCTCTGTTTTTCTCAAATATATGCCCAGGAGTGGGGTTATTGGGCCATGTGGTGGATCTATTTTTGTGTTTTTGAGAAAACTTAATATTGTTTTCCATAGTGGCAGCACTAGTTTGCATTTTTACCAACAGTGTACAATGGCTCCCTTTCCTCCACATTCTTGACAACATTTGTTCTTTGTGTTCTTTTTGATGAAGGCCATTCTTACAGGTGTGAGATGATATCTCATTGTGGTTTTGATTTACATTTCCCTGATATTAATGATGTTGAGCAGCTTTTCAGGTTCCTGTTGGCCATCTGCATTTCCTCCTCTGGAAAAATATCTGTTCAGTTCTTCCACCTATGTTTTAAATGGGTTGTTTCCTTGTTTGTTTACTTTTTAATTGAAGTATAGCAGATTTATAATGTTGTATTACTTTCTGGTGTACAGCATTGATGGACTTGGAGGGCATTATGCTAAGTGAAATAAGTCAGACAGAAAAAGACAAACACTGTAAGATATCACTTACATATGGAATCTAAAAATAATACAACAAATCAGTGAATATCACAGAAAAGAAACATGCTCACAGGTGTAGAGAAGGAATTAGTGTTTACCAGTGGGTGTGGGGTAAAATGAAGGTGGAGGATTAAGAAGTACAAACTATCAGGTATAAAATACACTACAAGGATGTATTGTACAACATGAAGAATATAGCCAATATTTTAAAATAGCTATAAATGGAGCAAAACTTTTAAAACTTGTGAATTACTATATTTACACCTGTAACATGTAATATTGTACATCAACTATACTTAAATTTAAAAATATGATATTGCAAAATAAATGCATAAATAAAAAATAAAAAAAACATATTTGGCATGTTTCTGCCCAGTCATTCATTTATGCATATGTGTAGACATAAATTTTATGATTGAGATCACATTATGCATAAAGTAATTCTCTTCTGCTTTTTATTTTTAAATACTTTTACAATCAGATGAAAAATGAAATAAACTTATCTTTTTTAAAAAACAAAGCATTTTAAAAAGAAGAATAATATAGAGTTCTGTCAAATTTTGAAAATATCTTTTCAAAAAACTACAATGTCAGTATATGACTATTTAAAAATAACACAAATTATTATTTCCAAAAAATACAATTGTACTTCTCAGTCCTCAAGATAATTCATGTAAAAACCATTACAGTAAGAATTAACAAAGCATCTTAATGAAAGTAATATAATCCTTAAATTAGAATCATCTCAATATACCAGAAAAAACTAGTAGAAAAGGCTTTTACAATATCTATGAATTAGATGAAATGTACACATGATACTTACATGGAGACAGCTACAAACTTGAGTATTATAAAAGCTGGCTTTAATATCTGAAGACATCATTGTGTTATGGGATTTGAAGACCATGTTATAAATGTATAGATTATTGTTAAATCTGTAGGTAAAATGTAATTCAAATAAAAACCCAATGGATTTTTCCATTTCTTTCTTTCTTTTATTTTCTTTGGACTGTTTCTTTGAGTAAAGAGACAAATAAGATCTACATTACAAGTTGTAAACCGAGAAACAAATTTGTCATTGTATTAACATTTTATATATATTAAAATAGCTTCACAAATTTACATTAATAACATTGTAAAAGAAGCAATTACAGGAAATATGGTCAATAAAAATGATAAAGGATTATTAACCTCATTTAGGCTATAACCTATGACAGGAAGAATATCAGAAGAGCCATAGGAAACGGAGAAAGGTAAATTATAAAAGAAGATATATATAAATGAATAGTGAAATCATGAAAATGTTCAACATTACAGGTAATAAAGGAAAACAAACCATAGAAAAATTAAGATAATATATAGTAATTGCTTCAATTGATAAGACAAATAGTCACATAATGCCAATGGAAAAGAAAATTGGTTAATGTTGGAGGGAGTATGGGGTGAAGGAGCTAATTGTAAAACCATGAAGCCAGGAGCAGGAGAAAGTAGGACAACAAGTGGATCCATGGAAATAAATTAGTCACATTGAATCCTGACTCAACCCCATTCTCACACAGCATAATGATACCACCCCAAAAGTTCAGTAAATTAAGCAAAAATTTAATAACTTACTGTATAGCTTCTATATGTTCTTTACTAAAGTTCCTAGCATATTTAGTATTCAAAAATCCTTCCTTTTTCCATATGTAAACATTGTTTCCTGGCCTGAAATTCATAGGTACTCTATGAATTACCAAAATGCCCTAAGTGATTTTCCACTGTTGATACTAATCAAGAGTCACATTTTGACAAACTGAGACTCTCCCTGGAGTGCCAGCAGTGAAAAACATATAGACTTTGTGACCAGTCAGCATTAAGTAGCAGGCAGATTCACCGAGGAACTGTTTGAAAATAGTCATATGCTATATAAGAGATAGACTGAATAAAATGTAAAGACTTTCAGCAGTTTCATATCATACTTCAAAATTTAGAACAAGCTCTAGTAAAGATGAGCAGACTGAAGAAAAAGCGTTATAGTATAGCAATTTACATTATCATTTGGATAAAAAAGAAAAACTTATAATCTCTATATTTGCCCAAAAGATATTTAATAAAGTTCATATGTCTATTTTTTTAACATTATTCATTGAGTTATAGTCATTTTACAATGTTGTGTCAAATTCCATGAAGGGCAAAATTTTTCAGTTATATATGAACATACATATGTTCATTATCACATTTTTTCCACTATGAGCTAATACAAGATCTTGTATATATTTCCCTGTGCTATACAGTATAATCTTGCTTATCTATTCTACGTATTCCTGTCAGTATCTACAAATTTTGAAATCCCAGTCTGTACCTTCCTTACCCCCGCCTCCTTGGAAGCAACAAGTTTGTATTCTATGTCTATGAGTCTGTTACTGTTTTGTATTTATGTATTAATTTTTTAAATTCCACATAAGAGTGATCTCATATTTATTTTTCTCTTTCTGGCTTACCTCAATTAGAATGACATTCTTCAGGAACACCCATCTTTCTGCAAATGGCGTTATGTTGTCATTTTTAATGGCTGAATAGTATTCTATTGTATAAATATAGCACATCTCCTTTATCCAGTCATCTATCGATGGACATTTATGCTGTTTCCATGACTTGGCCATTGTAAATAGTGCTGCTATGAGGATTGGGGTGCAGGTGTCTTTTTTAAATAGGATTCCTTCTGGATATATGCCCAGGAGCAGGATTCCTGGGTCATATGGTAAGCATACTGTTAGTCTTTTGAGTAATCTCCATACTGTGTTCCACAATGGCTTCACCAAA